GCATATTTTCAATGATGAATTTTCCAGGAAAATAAACGTCACTCACTGAATATCTTTCATTCCTGCATGACACGAAACTGGAATTCAGTTTGTCTAATGCTTTGCGTCCAAACGTTTGATTTACTTCGTTTCGGAAAAACTCAGGGAGAAATTAAAGACAACAGCATTCCAGTATTGGCTCAAATTGACATGGAAAAATTTCCTCTCCTCTATTTTGAATGAAAGAAAAGTTTTGCTCATTTTTATAAGATACAATTCCTCTTTTCCATAGCTCAAGCCGAAAATGATATTTTAAAAGCCCAAACATTGAATTTTATTTAATGTTTGTTTTTCATATCGGACATACTCATAGACAGTCAATTCATTGATATGCTACAATGGATAGCCTTTGCGCCGCCCAGTATGAACATCAAATCAGTGTACATCTTTGTCGCAGACCATATTTTTTTGCATCATTTCAGGAGGCCACAACTCGTGATCAGAAGGTCGGGTGCGTTCTGGATATTCTTCCTATCAGGGGAGTTTCCGACTCTTACGGGAAATTCTGTGACGTCCTTCAAAAATGTGGACACAACTTTTTAGCAGACTTTCTACGAGATGAAGGTATGTGTACATAGTAGTACACAGTAATTATTAGATGGTACGAAATAAAACTTAAAATGCATTCTGAGCACGTTTACTTCACTACATATATCTGAGAATCGGACACATCTAATTTTTTATCAATCATGATGAGATCATTTTCATAAATTGAAACATTAAAGACAATGATATTTTATTGAAATAGGGACTTAAATACCTAACAATATTTTCTCTGAATATAAAGGAAAATTGTCCTCACACTTAAATTTGTATTTCCGGAATGAAATAATCTTTTCTCACTGAATGAAATTATATCAAGTTGAATTTTTTATGACAACAATGTTCTATGTCTATTATCTGTAGGGACTTTGGATGTTGGTAAGTTTTTCTGTCAATCCTTTGCATGCTACGTCGTTGACATGTTATTGCTTTGGGGAACGGGGAGTGCAACATACTGTTATTATAAATCCATTTTGCAGGAATCAACCTTAAAATTTATTAACTATCAGTCGAAAAATCATATCATCTTCAATTTTACAAGACAATATCATTTCGCATTTTTTTTTATGTATTTGTATGTGCATCTTTTTTTATAAACATACATCATAACGTAGATGAGGATGAGGTAGATGAACGAGAGCTCAGTAAGTTCCCGGATGTTCGCCGTCTTTTTTCCCCTCACCTAAATACGACTAAATGTGTACGATTACACTAACGTAGATTATCACTAACAATATGGTAGTGTACTAACACTTGGTGGTAGATTAGAGCATACTAATCTAGCTCAAGTAATGAACTCTTGGGAATTCTTAACTTGATGACAACGGTTTTTATCCGCTCTTAGTACAATTTATCCTTTCTTGTACAAATTTTACTCTATATATATTCTCAGCTACATGGTATTTTCATCTCAAATGATTTCTGGCCCTTGTCTAATTATAACTGCCCTTTTGCTGAATTTGTGAAACCTAATCATACCATAGAACCACTAGTAATTTAAATATGACTTATATTATACAGAGTTTTTCTCAGTCAACGATTTTAAGGCACGGATTTGTAGTAATACTAAATATTAAATAAAGCCACTGATGAAACTGATTTCCTTAATTTATCATGACTAGAGCGAATTTTCCATATAATAAAAAAATGATTTAAAATAATTAATTTTAAAGTGTCAAGTAAAAATAAAAACGCAATTGTTCTTGATATAATCACTTTATTTTCTACAGCTTTAGAGCAAAAAATTGACAAAATGGTCAAGGATCGTGAAAAGAGACAAAATCAAGGTATACATAGTGTGCTCTTTTTCCCCATGAATAGCCTCCCCTAATGAGCACAAAAACCCTCTATATATACCTTGTTTTCACTGATTACCAAAATTTGAACCCGTCTATTTCGATAACTTTCGTTCTGTATTTAACAATTAATTTAAAGAGTGTTCTCTGCAGTATATTCCTTTCATTCTGTAAACTATGGCACACGGATAGAGAATACCTCCACAAACCCTTTTTCTGACCTGTCGTTTTGGTACTGATCCAAATGCAAAATTTAAAGTGATCTTTAATTTATGGGATATACACTAAACTTGCCATGAAGCTCGAATTTCCAGATATATTCAAGCAGATCTGAACATTTAAAAATATTTTAATTACTACACATTAGGAATTACTCTTGTGTCCCATTTCTTGTTTCTCAACTTGATACATACTGACGGTGAGTGAACGGAAGATTGGATATAGTGGATAAAGCACATGTCTTTCATTTTCAGCATTCAATTTTGGCAACAATGAGCTATATGGGTTTAACTGTTTCTTTAAAAAAGAATTTTTAAAAAATCTTTCTTTTTTTTTTTTAGATGTTCTGGCAACAAAATTTGATACAAAAGAAATGTACAGAAGATTGCCTTTCCTCGATCGCTTACGAAGCCATGAGAGAGATGGAGTAGAAAAGTTCTTTGTCGATAAGGTACTGTATATGTACTAATTTCTGGTGCCTTAATTTGGTTCATCTTATGTGCGCTAATTTTTTTGAATGTCTCCATTAGAAAAATAAAAATACCGAATGCTAAATTATAGTTACGCAAATATGAACCTTTTTTTTTTTACACTAAATTAAGTACTTGTGCAGTTTACTATCGATTAGTGCATTTTAACAAGGAATATAGTTTTATTTCTCAAAATATCTGTTGACATAACTGATGCAGATATAGTTTTAAGGATGAAAAAGTAATATCCTCTTTTTAAAAATATAAATTGAACATAAAATTATTATCACGGACTTGTGATTCTTTATTATTGTACAATTCTATTCGTGTACTTTTTTTCTCAGCTAAGAACGGAAGCACTAAAAATGGTTTGGAAAGATGACGTTAGAGACAAAGAAAAGGCAGTAGAAGCTCGTCGTAAATTGATAGAGCAAAATGACCAGCATCGAACGGAGGCTGAAAAATGGCATACAGTATTACAAAACATGAAAGCAAAACTCGAAGATAGCAAAATGGAAATCAATGGGCTTAACGCTCAAGTGAAAAGCTTAGAAAATAATTTAAAAGAGGTATCTTCCAAGCATAAGGGTGATGTAAGCTCACAGCTTCGATTCAACCAAGCCAATGAAAATCAGTTACAAAAAGCTAAAGAAAAGCTCAATAATGCGGAAGCAACTTTGAGAAATATAAAGGGAAAGCTAAGCGACGCCCTTCAGAGTCGTCCAAAAAGGTTAACACAGAAACAGGAAGTGGAGTTACATATAAATGAATTTGCATTTCTTAGTGAAGATGTGGATAGATTGTTAGAGAAGCATGAAGAACTGAAGAATATTGGCATGAAATATTTTGACCTCTGCGAGCAACGAGATTTTTGTTTGACACATATGGGGTTTGAGACAGGTATGGGTGCCCCTTCTCTGATGGACGCTTATAGAGAATATGCAGTGAGAACAGACGAAACAATGACAGAACTGAAAGAGAAAATTCAAGAATACGATGAAATTGTAGAAAGCTCAAAGAAAAAAGCCCAAGAAGACGAAAAGAAGAAAAATGCTTTCCAGATGGGAGCAACGGTATGGCAATCTGCCATAATGAATGTCATGCGAAACCAACTACAGGATGTAAAACTTGAAAACCGAAAGAAGGATACTCGCATACAGCTTCTAGAATCTGAGGGTACAAAATCCAAAAACAGAATCACTGAATTGGAACAAGAACTGAAAAGGCTGAAAAACTCAAAATCAAGATCCTCCAGAGAATTGATCAGTGTGGAAAATCTTAATGGAGCTGTGTCGTCCGTAAGCACTGACAGGAGCGATCGTTTACAAGATTTTGAGGAAGATACCAAGAGAAGAAAGAGTAAGGAAAATATATTACCACAGATACATAAGCAGACATTCCCTCCAACACAGTACACAGTTCAGGTGAGTACCACGACGAGAAAGTCAATCGACGCCCCACGACAATTGGGAATGCCCACAAACAAATTTGCTGCTCTACCCGATGGACTTACAACAGCCCCAGTTCGTCTGGAGACCAAAAACCAGTACAACAAATATTTAGCAAAAAGTGTTCCAGGCCTTGGAGATCTGAAGGCTATGAATGCAAGAAATAAGTTTGAAAAATCACTAAATCCTACAAAAGTTAGGAATTAGAAACGGTTGACTGGAAACTGTAATGGTGGAAGTGAAGGAAAGTAAATCCATTCGATGTTCCTAATTTTCATTGTGCCAATATTCAGTATTACATGAACATATATACTTATATTCCGAAGACGGTCCACCATGAGGAGTAATAATGATATAAATTCCTCATTCCTAAAAACAACGTGCTTTGTTTTTATCTTTCGTTATTATTTACTTTCGTTCGTTCACTTCTTTTTAAAAATGAAGCACAATTTGTTAATGCCAAATATGTAAGAGTATTTGAAACGGGACTTGTAAATATTGGCATTGCTTGTGATAAATATACTGTGATATATATTTTAAGATTTATACTGTATCTACTTATTATGAGTTGAATTAAAATATTATTTAAAGTGAGATACTGTCTTATGTTATCACAGCATGCATAAACATTTTTTTTTTTACTTTTACATGACAGGATAAGCTACGATCGTATTCATTTTGAAATTGAACATGATTTTTTCGTATGAAAGAGCCATTTCCTGGGAATGAAAAAGGAGAAGATAACGAACAGTAATCAATCCCATAATGCAGTAGAGAATCGTGAACAGGGCGAAAGATACGGACCCCTGAAACATCCTAGGTGGGATCAACTGTATACGAGGAGGAAGCATCTCCCGTCGATTGGTCACACTTGCCGTGAGCCCTCTGAATTGATTAGGTAAATGGAGTAGTCCATAGTCAGATTGAAGGAAATTCAATGAAAAGTAAAGAGGATAAGAAATTAACACAATGTATTTTTTTTCTGCATTGCATTTATTTTGTCAAAATGTGATCTTTAACTATGAGATAAACAAACATCGAAGTCTGAAATAGTCTGTACATTATGAGGAGAATCACTGGAAATTAAAAAAACACTTATATGATATATAGAGTATACTTATTGTAGCATCAGTAGACAATACACAAAATAACGAATTGCACATGTGTATACGTTTCAACACAAGAAAAATTGTGCATTATGATGATAAAAAGAGATACAAAGAAATATAAGGTAGAAAACAGTTAGGATGTTATGCAGTCGCTGGACATTTTTTTCCACCAAGAAATAGTACTTGCATACTTATTTTAAGTATTTAATACAAAGAAAATTTTGGACTCTTACAGAAATATAAATTTTAAAAAAATTAACATGTTATTGTTATATCACATAACATAACATACATTTTGTCTATTTAGATCCACATAGGGTCCTGATTGTCAATTTTCTATGATTGATGAAAAGTGAATCATGAATCATGATTAAGATTTTAAATTTTAAAGTCACTATTACAAAGTAATATGAACATTTTTGAATTCAAGCTCAGTAACCCGGAATACTATGACTGGTACACTTTTGAGAGTTTTACAATGAATTTTTTTTTGTTTAAAAAATGTGTTATTAGTATCTATTCTCATATAATGTATTACATGTTGTCAACGTTACAATTATGAAGAACTGAAAATTCCACAATTCCCAGACATAGTTTTGATTATCACTTTGAAACATTAAGAAGACGAACCAGTACATGACAGACAGAAAGACATGCATCACTGAAAGGTGAGCATCATGGTATATGATAATAATTAAATAAAATGTAATCCATAATTCGACTTCAAAGCAAGACATGCGTACCCTTCATATATCAGCAAACAAGTATTCCAGTAATGATTGTAGTCCATGCTTTAGTATGGATCAAGACGTTCACAAACAAAGTGCAGCGGAGTCTTGCAATCCATCCTGGAGACTCGGAATCCAACGGCCTTGGCAAGGGCCAGGCATCCACTTCGCTGTTTTGTAGGGAATCCTAGAGTAGCTTTATTTGGGTCTGTGGCATTAAACGTGTCAAATTCAATGTCCCTATTGTTGGTAGCCCATTTCCATTCACCTGGAAGGTCTGCTGCTGTTCCGGCTGTCCAAAATCCCGCAGCAGTAAACCCACCTGTGGATACGGATTTAGATCGAAATTGTAGATTATTTTGTCTTTGCTGTCTACTTGGACGGAAATTGTATGAATAAAATGGGGACGGAGTAGTGTGTTTTATAGCTTGGACCTCGGGAGCTGCAATAAAGATGTTCTAAGTTCCAGCCAGTGCACTGGAGGTCAGTAGCCTTCAAACATGCTCATTGCACTCAATAGCTAAATCTTACATGCTCGTTTATAATTTTGGATACCCTTCGAATTATCATTCTAAAAAATCGATTTATTTAAAACAGATGTGCTGCATTATATAATCTAATCTCTAAGGTACATGTAAATGAATGGAAGAAATTCCTAAAAGTCCTTAATAATAATTAATTGATTTGCAAAGAATTGCTTTAAAAAGAAAGTTGACATCTCCTATTTTCAGATTTATAAATAAAAGAATTTTTTAATTTCTTGCTTTATTTTGATCATTCCGCTCCTGAAAAAATTACTTGTCTTGGATTTGAAAAAAAAACCCCTCTTTTGACAGAGATACATTTTTAATTGCACTCCATGCATTACTAATTATCAAATTATGTAAATATATTACCTTGTTTTATAGGCATGGCTTTGAAAATGCAATGTTTTCATTGGGTACGAAAAGGGTCAGTTTATAAAGAAATAGAAGATACAATTACCTGTGATAGTTGCTAAAATGCCTTGCAGAAATTCATACTGGGCAGTTGATCTCAGGGTTACCAGAGTGTTTTTGAATGTACTACAAAACACCTTAAAAAGAAATGTTTGTTTTTATTACATAAACAATATCATAGCCATAAGTTGCTGCTGGGGAAAAAGTATACAATTATTAATCCATTTTTTCATTTTTATAATTTTGTATATTACTTTTGACAAGGTAAGTTTCAAAAGAATTCATCAGTGATATTCTAGGTATATAAGATAACATGAATAATCTACTGTCCAGCGAATATGTTGCTTTTTTCCAACCTTCATAATGGATAAATATCAAAGTAAAGTTCTACAAAAGTCAATAAAATAGAACAAGACACAACAAACCAGCGCCTCTGGCCAGGAGAATGCCTCCGAGTGAAAGCTGTAGCAGGATTCCTCATATCTCACAAATCCATTAGGGCATTTAACTGAGGAGTCTACCTGGCCCTCCTTGATATTTGGAGTAACAGTTACCTTTGGTTTGACAGTTGCTGCAGAAAAAAAAGGTTTTTTGAAGGTTTTATACAATAATTTTAGAGTTCAAGTGTATTGCTTCTCTACTTTAGTTATTACTTTCTGCTATATAAAAAATGATAAAAAAAAAAAAAAAAAAAAAAAAAAAAAAAAAAAAACGCTTTCTGTCTTTTGAAACCATTTAACGTTATTTCATGCCTGTAGAATCCCTAAGTGTACCGAAGAAATAAATTTGATGACTTGGTTAAGATTGGTGAAAAAGGTGAAGATGACGAACAGTGATTGATCTTAAAAAACCTACAAACAATACAAATCTGTGAACCGGGCATAAAACATGGAACTCTAGAGATTCCAGGTGTGTTCAGGTACCTTGGAGGAGTAAGGTATTCCCTGTCGATCGGTCGCATATTAATTAGGTAATAAGGAATATTCTGTAGTTAAATTAAATAGAAAAACAAAGGTCTAAAAATTGGTATGAAGCATGTTAGTGTGTCAAAATATGACCCAACTATAGTCTAATTTGCTTACAAGGTCATTATACGAAATGCTGACTTTAAACGAGGTTATTAATGCAATCCATTTAACATCAACTTATTTTATGCCTCGGTTTAAGAATTATTCGTACTCAGAGCATGATCTTGAGTATCGAATTTGTTGGGAGACATAAACACCATGTACAGGTGATCGATTACTACATAAAAAAGAAAAGTTGACAATGGAAAAGATAAGTCATCTCATTTGTCATTCAATTTAGTTGTTAGCTGGCCCTTATCGTCGACAGTCAGTTAAACATCCAAATATGAAACAGATGTGGCAGACTCTGAGGTGTCTTTAATTCCGAGTTCACTGGGATATATATGAAAAGAAGTAACTGTTGTTAATTAATGATAAGTCGTCGATAGATCTGCCTTATGAGTTGAAGGCCAACGAAAGTGTTCTCTTCTCATGCAGAACCAGACACGGTAGCCTAGTGATAGGGCGTTCGTTATCGGGAGGTCAGGGTTCGATTCTCGATCGTCAAACCTAAGACGTAAACTCAGGTAGTGACTGATCCTCCGCCAAGCGCCCGGCACTACAAATGAAAGTCATAGGTCTTAAAATCCGAGGTTCCGTGTCACGGTGCGTTGACACGATAATGTACCTTCACTGCTCAATGGTCCTGAGTGACGAGTATAGGTCTGTATTTAATTTGAAGCCCTTCGCCGGTATATGGTAACATCTCTATATGAATGAAAAATTCTCAAATGGAACGTAAAACTACATCAATCAATCAATCTTCTCATGTAAAAGTTTTGGAATAAATCCCGCTTCACAGGAATATAAAAACAGATCAGCATTAAACATGACATGTTCTATATTTATTGAAGAAACATAATATAATCTTGACGGCAAGGTATTATGAATAAGAATAAATACATATATGTACATAAATGTATATTGTAACGAGTCCAATATTCCTTGTCACAAAAAGTCTCTTTTTATGCATACAAGTATTTATAAAGAATAACTTTATCAAGATCAATAATTGGAATGCTGATCATTTGGATAAAATTGATTCAAACGGAGAGTGAGCTTAATTTGGTAGTTACGTTTGCGATAACGCTTTATAATTGATTGGAGAAAGTATCTGATGTCAATCTCGAACTCAAAGTCTGCAAAGACAATTTGAGTTTTTCTATATTGAATATAAATTCACAAGAATTTTTGTCCTTTATGTAAAGGAATATACTATTGGCACAAAACGGCATTAATATGCTTTGTTTTAACTCTACCTTATTGCAAATACCGTTTCAACTTTAAGCAATCGTATTTGACACCAATTTTTTATTGTCTACAGAATTCTTTCCTTGTAAATACAAAATGGAACTGTTTTAATTTATTTTTATTTTTGTTTTATTTTACTCTGTTCAATTAAGCATTATTGTATTAATTAATTGTTGGTAAAATCGCCATTGTGGCACTTGCAAACAGCGGGTTTGACCGGTCAACAGAGGATGCTTTATAGATGTTTTAGAGGCCCGTGTTTGCTCCCAATTTGTATTGTTCCTATAGACTTCTGAGCTTGATTACTGGTATTTATTTTCATATTTTGCAAAGACTTTATGTTCTATACAATGTGTTACCTCTGACTGAATCGTTTCACTAATTATCCTAAGACTTGAGATTTTGATAATAGTATACTCAGTGAAGTTCTTCGTTTTAAAACTTTATTGTTAATTTTTTTTAACTATCATAAAATGATTTGCAATATTTGTCTATTTTTACCTCATATCAATATGATTGTTAAACTAAAATAATTCAAGCTTCTTTTTATCATTATACATCATTGCTTTACAATCAAAGGCGTCTGGATCTTTTGTCTAGATTTCCACTGTTGTATAGTGAGAGTTCCCCATGAAAACTGGCTTTATATTGAACCTTCCCTCCGGATGGCTATATTCATTATTGTGAGTCTTCCCCAGGAAAACTGTGTATATATTGAGCATTTCCTCTAGATGACTCATAAAGTTAGCCTTTCCCCGGAAACTGGCTATGTATTGATCATTCCCTCTGGATGGCTGTATAGTGAGCCTTTCCTCCGAAAGCTTGCTATACAGTAAGCCTTCTCCCGGGGAAGTATCACAAAATACACGTAGCCTTTCTTCCAGTTGGAAGACTCAATACTGTAGATTCCTAAATGTACGCGAGGAATAAATTATCGCGTAATTACGCGAGAAGCACCGCTCGCGAAATAAAATTACTCGCTTTTATTTTTATGGTGCTTTAATGTATGTAAAATCTCTAGATAAATAAACCATTCGCGAAATATTATTCTCGCGATTTGACGCCCTTGGGTCATTTCGCGATAATAAGTACTCGCGTAAAATAAGGAATCTACAGTATATTGACCCCTTTCTCCTTTCGGGCAATGTTTCCCCCTTCTTCTATAGTTTCCGAAATAATAATTTCGGTCTATTGTTTTGAAAACATCTTGTTCTTCTGTATTTCGTTTTGGTTTTAACAAATAAGATAAAAACAGTAATCAATCTCATAAATCCAAAAGTAAAGAAAACGGATCGTGAACAAGGCAAAAACATGGACCCCTGGAAACATTATAGGTGGGATCAGGTGAGTAGGAGGAGTAACAAACACTCTTTTCCGGAAATAGCCTTATAAAAACAACTTTAATGCAACAAAAATCATAAAAATTATTTATGTTTGATATTACATGCAAAAATTATAATATTTTTTTTCTGCAGAATTCAATTTCTACAGCTGGCTGTTATCGTTCGGATTAAGGAAATTGTGTCACCTAAATTTTACTTCTCCACCTGTCAAAAACATCAGATATGACATATTTTTGATACACATGTGATGGAAATCTGCTTCTAGACATATTTTCTCTCATTCCCTTGCTGCGGTCTATGTTTAATCTCAGTTTTCATCATTAATCATTCAATTCTTTCACAGCTGAGTGAAAATGACAGAAAGAGCATAAGCCGATTTTAAGTCCACCTGTGTAAATTGCAGAAAATTCTAATAAATTACAAGTTTATATCAATTCACTTCAATGCAAATTTTTAAAGACAACTTTAATAAGAAGCAAAATGCCATATGTTAAAAGCATATCTTGAGGTTGATACCTTGAAGAGGAACGCACATCAAGACTTATATTGCCAATTAAAAGATCATACCTGCATTTGCAGACAATATTCCAAGACATGAAATCAGAACAGTTAAAACCGGTACCCCTACCATTATGAAATAGTTTGTCTGCTGTACCTCACAATAAGATGACTGCAGTGAGGTGGGGGCGTATCTGTAAGCCGCTGTTGTGTATATAATGTGAATGCTGTTTTCTGAAAGTGCCTTCGACGCAAATGTTTCGAAGAAATCTCTCATTTTCTGAAAATGCTGACCCAGAAAAACCATCAATAACTTTTGGTTTTCTTTTTACAATTTATCAGCATAAACGGTTGAGCATTTTTAACATGTAGATAAATGTATCTGAGCCATACTGAATTATTATTCGTGCCTCAATATCTTCACGAATATTTAAAAAAATCGAATGCAAAAAATTACTTTTTTCTATAAATGTATGTACTGAATATAGAACGACATGATTTATTTTCGTATATTTCTACAGACATCGTTTGAGCTCAAATCCAACTTTCTTTGTTATCTAACACTTTTTGTTTAATCATTTTTAATACATAACGTTTCATGTATTTTTAATGTATCTTCCCTTTTGTTTTGACTAGACGATAAAAAAACCACACACAAAGTTCTTTTAAATGATATCTAGTCCTTTTTGTTATTCATGCTCGTTTGCTGAGTTTGTCAAACCTAATATTATTTTTGAACCAACAGTGGTTTAAACATGACATATTTACACAGTTTTTCTTGGAATTATTTACTGCATGTAATTGTAATAAGACTTAATAAATTATACGTCCGATTAATTAATCAACTGATAAGAATTACTTCCTAAATTGATTAAGACTAAAGCTAAAATTTGCTTTTATTAAAATCTTGGGATAATTTGAAACTATTTTTAATAATTCTAGATACGATTTTTACAGTATAAGAGCAAACAAATTGAAAACTGTTCAAATATCATGAAAAAAGATAAAACTAAATTTATACGCTCTTTCCCTCACACTAACCGAAAATCCACATTTTCTTGAATAATTCTTCCACGTAATTAGCACAAAGAATTCTCCTGTATACTTTCTGTAATGGAGAAAATTATTTGCCGTTTTAAACCTTTCTCTTTATTGATAAAAATATTCGCATATTATAATAATTATGGTATGGGGATATTTTTATCACTACAGAGAACGGTTTAAAACGTCAATTGCCTGTGTCATTTGCTTATATGATGTATACAAATGACGTTCTAGTAGCTCCCTTAAACTGGAAGCTACCCGGTAGCTGCCGTGTATTACCATCTCCAGCGGAACCACCCTTAAAATGCATGTATAGGAGCGTGACAGCACATGTTAGGGAATTGAAAAAGATATTCAAATTAAGACATGTACAAGGGTTGTCCGGTAAAATCGTGGACAAAGCGTTTTTCTCGAAAAATAATGGGCACACTAAGCTGAAATTTTCAGCAAATGTTTATTCATCATATTCAAGTGCATCTTAATTTTTTGGATAAAATATAGACAAAAATAAAGATTTTATTATGCTTGAATGTGCACAGGGTACGGTCCTACGGCGCACGATCAAAAAATCAGGGTTTCATTAGCGAATACACGAGTATTATTTCGAAATAAAAGTATTAAATAGATAAGGTTAGGGAAAAAATTATCCTATTTTTAATCCACTATCTATTATTTCGTCTTTTATAAAATATAAGGCATTTGCTTAATTTTTGGCTGTTTCCTGAGCATTTGAAATGGGAAAGTGGTAAACACAACACACGAAAAATGGCGACGTTTGTTGACGTTACGGCGCACCGGAGAGCAGTTCAGTTTGATTTAGATGTAGTAATGACGCCCTAAAAACTTAAAATGGCTACAGAAGAATAAAATATATAAAAATATCACTAAATTTTTAGGATACAAGTGAAATGGGAGTTTTCTAAGCGGAAGCTTTTGATCGGGTCCCCGGGTAGAACAAAACATAAGGACAAACAGCTACTGGCAATAGCAAAAGACGCTGTCACTGTAGACCGTAGATATAAGAGAACCTGTTTAGTTGAATGATAGTGAGAGTACTGTCCATATCTTCCTAGTAAATCTTAAGAAGGTCCCCCGTGTGTTCGAGATTGGTTCCTTGACTGTTTATGGAGGAATAAAGGGAAAATCAAGTATGTGCATCAATGAAATCCCCGAATTTAAGTGGGGCTTATCCAACTTTTATTTAGCAAAGAGGAAAAGTGACGCTGCTTTAAAGACTTTGACGTTATCATCCGTGCGCCGTAAGACGATACCATACATAACATAAAGTCTCATATTTTGTTTATTTGAGCAAATATCTATTCGAAATTTGCTATGTATATTGATTAAAAATGTACTAAAAAGTAGTGAAAGTTTTAGAACGCAGTGACGATTATTTTTCAATATAGACAACTTGTCCACGATTTTACCGGACAACCCTCGTATAATGTTATTGTAATTATTTAAAATCTGTTATAAACTTGTAAACTGACTACTGGAATTTTTACTTAACGCTACCATAGGGGAATAACACCATATCGCATGATATTTGGAAGTAAAATGACAATTCTAGTATCTTTATTATGTGATTTTACTGATTTTCAAAATGAGGATATTAAGTGTTATACATATTTGAGGGTCATTTCTTGGTTATTTTGTTTTTATAAATCGAAGGGGTCTGTATACCTTTCTGACCATCCCCCTGCTGGATCCGCCACTTGCATCAGTTAGAAGGTATTTTAAAAATGTTTCATGAATAGTGTACATTAAACTTGTTAATTTATCAAGAAAGTATGGAATCCAGATACTCAGTAGGTCCACGTATTCTACTAAGTCCCCTTGAGGAGACGCGAGAAAGTGTGACGCGATTGTGCGATGACAATGACACAATATTTCGATAGCATCATTATCATGATGTGATGGCGCAGTTATGTGAAACAATGGTGCGAAGACGCGATTATGTAATGACAATGGCGCGATGGTACATGTACATGTTCGATGACGATGAAACGTTACTCGCTTTCGCTCCATCATGCTCTTGTACTATTGTCATCACGTTATCGCGTCATTGCATCATCCCCATCGAGCTATCGCAGTATTGCGTCATTGTTATCGCGTCATCGTAATCGTACAAACACGTCATCCCTTCATTGACGCTATTGTCTATGAACGATTGTGCAAAAGTAAGTACTTGCCTATCAGCATATTAGAGATAGATTCATTGATTGCTTAGTAGTAGTTTCAAGGCTTTTGCAAAATTATATCACTCATATGAGACGTCACCGTATGCCAGTATAGGCTTCAAATTTAGACGTTTACTGAGCACTCCGGCTCACTGAACTGTAAGGGATCCTTGTTGTGCCAACGCCTGCCGCGACACAGAGCCTCGATATTTAACGTCTCATCCGAAAGATCAACTATCACTTAAAAGTGTAAAAGTGCCAAGCGCTTGGCATAGAAACATTTGCTACATGTGCACCTAATCTTTTTTTATCGACTAATGTTGTCGCGGCCGATGGATTTGAACCCACGATTCAATTTACTCAATCATTAAGACGCGTCAATAGGCATGATAGGAATAAGGAATATAGTTTATCTCTGGTCTAATTAGCTAGTGAGCATTTAGACCCACGGGCATATTTTTGATTATTTAGATGACAGAAGGTTGGACCACTTTGACAACATGAGATATTGTATTAATATTATCTCGAAGAACAATACTTTTACAGTATCGATACTAACTTTGTTCAGCAATGGAACAGTGAGTTTTCTTTATCGTGCTAACGCCTACCGTGACACTGGACCTCGATTTTTAAGGTCTAAATTCAAAGACTCATTGACTTGCACTTCTAATGCCGGGCGCTTGGCGAAGGAACAATCACTACCAATGTTTACGTCTTATGTTTGACGCGGCGCGGCGAACAAGAATCGAAACTGGGCCTCCCGATTATGAAGCGAACGCTCTGCCACTAGGCTAATGACCGGTCACGATAGAGTGAAGAAGCAAACTTGCATTTTTTTCTGAAAGAAAAAATTATTTATTTGCATAATTAACAGGAGAGAAAGGTAATCTGAAAATCTGAATGTCCCGAAGAAAATTGTAATAGATGTGTATATACTGTTTAACTTTATTCGATTATATATTTATACATCTGGGAATTTGTCTTCTTTTCTACTACTATATAGATATTTTCACTTCCAAACCACAAGATTTAACTGCAGATGAGTCTTGATATGTTTGGGCGTCTACTGTCCTTTTACGGTGCTATACTCCCAGAATAAACCGTTAAATCTACCATGTCTTTGCCCAAATACTGTTCTGAGGGCCTGGAAGAAAAGTGTACACGGGAAAGAATTAACGCCATGTACCAAGTCCTCTGTTAATGTTGAGGATAAGAATGTAGAATAATACCATATTTACGAACACAATTTAAGGATTTAAAATCATCCTTAATGACACATAGACCATGACCTGTTCCAAACTTTTATCTTTTCGAGAATAAAAGCATGGAGTCGACGTGCTTTTAACATTTTAGATGATTCAACTCCTGCTATACCACAATACCCCACATCCACATTATGGACGTTGCGCCTATGGATTTTTCATTGTTTCCATACCTGATCGCTTAACTGCGTCGACACTGATTTTAAGATCTTACTAGTATCCAAAAAACACCACAAAAGACATTGTAGAAAAAAGTAACATGATATAGTTATATAATTAAGTAGGAAAAAGATATGAAAAGTCTACAGAAATGAAAGATATTTAGAACTGTAAAAAAGCTTAACAGGTTAAGGTTAAGGTGATGGTTAACCATCAGGTTATTTATATATTATTATTATTATTATTATTATTATTATTATTATTATTATTGTCATTTAACCTCGCCCTTCGGCCTCGGTGATTATTGTACACCTCAGGTGGCAAAATCAACGTATTAATGAATGACCTGTGATCGAGGAAAAAAATCTATATTTCGGAGGTTTTGGGGAAAATGTACATCCGAAAATAAACTTGTTCGTAGAAATGTCGAAACCCTACACCCAAGAATTACTGTTTGCTTCATTGTACGAGTAGGAATACCCTAACCCCCCCCCCCAGTCTATTTTGTTTACTAGTGTATAAATTTTTAAAA